GAAAAATTGTAAAACATAACCATCTCAAAAAACATGAGTTGTAGACCTTGGTTATTTTGTTATTTTTTGAGAGCTCATTAACTATGCTGCGACCATTTTTTTACTTTTAAAAAGACGATGAAAGCTACATAAATGCTGCGAAGATCTCTCAGAAATCTTTATTTCATCAAATGTGGCACCCGCTGAAAACAGCGAAATAACTTTTAAAATGATCTAATATATAGATTTTGCTCTGATTGCCAAGGTAAAAATGGAAAAGCGATCACTTAAGAGTCCGTAATGTTGAGGCAAACCCGTTGAAAATTAAAAAAATGCACTGCAATGTGCTTCAGTCACAAAATAAAGCTTTAGGATTTTTTCGTTCTGGCACTAAAAAATTTGTGTTGATCGTCTCCGTTACAATGTATAATTTTTGGAAAAATAGCACGGAAAATGGCTCATTGGACTTATCACAAAAATCATAACTTTCTGCAGAAAAGCTAGATTAACACAAATTTCGCACAATCAGAGAGAAGCGGTCAAAAAATAGATTTTTGGCTGTATCAGATTTCAATGCAAAGTTTTTAGATACGGGCCTGCTCAATCACAAGACTGAAGTGAGTTCATATTCCGTTTTGTCTCTGCAATCAGAGCTTAGTAGGGAATTAACAGGCTGTCATCAAAAAGCACATGACTTCTATAATGTCAAATGACCTGCAGAATTATCATGACACTGAATAAGTTGCAATTTTAGATGATAGTGCAGCAGAACGTTTAAGTCAAAAATATTGTTTGAAAATTTTTGCGTACTTAAAAGAAATTTGATAACTTTCTAGGCTCTGTACTTTAAGTCGTAGGTTCGTATCCAAAAATAGAAGAAGGTTCATACTTTGCGATAGTTCAAACGGAAAATTTCGTAGACTAGAATTACACAAGCTTCCGAAGACCGCACCTAATTTACGTGATTGATTTTAGTCGTAGAATACAGATTGTTCCAAAAGTACGTACACACTTTTCAATCGTTAATATCTCTCTTCCCACTGCGCTTTTTCTCGCCATTTAAGTACCATTCTGTAGAGGAGGCTTCTTAGAATTACAGTATCGAGCGAATCAAGGATCGCTCTTCGCTACTCTAAGATTACTGTCGGAATTTCGACAAGGATTTTAGGCCTTGGAAGCCATATACTGCCTCGGAACGAAACCAAACAAGCCAAAAACTCTTATACTATGGTAATGGAAGGATGTTTTCGAAAATGAAATCTCCATTTTTTGTCATGCTTCATTCCAAAGTTATCCCAGGTAAACCGTAATTACTGAATTTCTAGTATCTGTCAGAAATGTGATTACGCCGTGAAAAAGGTGAAAACACTTGTAGAATGCTGTGCGGTGGAATCAGCGTGGGCGAAAACCTTACTACACGATTTTCAAATTTTTTGAAAAAATTTTGTCGGATGGTATATTTCATAATGGTTCCACAGCCCAGAAATTCTTACCGTAATCCCACGGTAACGAAGAAAGATCGGTCGTTTGATCGATACGGCATACCTCTAAGGGTTAAAACCCCGAATGGTACTTGAATGGCAAAAAAGACACATTGGGAAGAGCGACATTTACGATTGGAAAGTGTGTACTTAGATTTAGGACACCCTGTATTACAGAGCGCAGCTAGCAGCTCAAAAAATTCTGTATTACAGCGATAGTTCATACATCTGTGTGAATAGAATTCAGTTTTTCACAAATTTTTGAAAGAAAAAATCTTTGAAAATTGTCAATTTGCAAGAGAATTTATTGTCATTGCGTTTTTTCTACAAAAATACAGCTTGAATCCACATATTCGCATGGCTTACCTGAAGCGCAGTCACATTTGTTGTGCGTCAAACTGTGCTTCCGCTAGTTAGTGTAGTAATTGTGGGTAGCAGACTAACATTTATATTTTCGTTTATGCGAAATTGAAACCTCCCATAGCAACATATGAGCTATCGCCATGCAAGAAAATCTTGGTTGTTTTTTTTGGGCTGGTTAGCGGCCCTCTATTTGTTTTTACAGCGAAATTCAAAATGACAAAGTTGGAAGGCTTTTTTGGAAGCTTGTTATTTCAAGGATAGCCAACGAGTTGCGGCTGAAAACTATCGCAAAGCGCAAAGCTTCTTCAATTTCTGTATACAAACTATGAATGTAGATGAGGGCTTAAAAAATTACCAAACTTTTCTTAAATTATGAAAAGCTTCGCACCAACCTAAAAAGTGTGGTTCATGATCGTACGATTTCGCAACTTCTTGGAAGTCACGGAAAAGACCCTTGGTACTACTTGATAGAGCATAGCCGAAAAATTCGCGGCTCAAGACTGAAAATCAGCGTCGGTCCTATAATGAGAAGAGACCAGCATGATCCAGGAAACCAAAAAGGAATGTATATCAAGGGACGCATCTTCAAACGCTGATTTCAAATCTGCTTTACGTTTCTGCGGAACATTTCTCCGAAAGAAGCTATGAGCGTTTGAATGTCCAAAATTATTCGAATCTTAAGTGGCATGAAGTTAACAAAAGCTTTGCAAAACATCTAAACGTAGATATTCAATTCTGTATCAAGTACATTGACTACAAAGAGGGAATACAGCTGATGAAATCCGCATGAGTGTTGTTGTAGAGCTTTTCGTTAATTTTAAGCCACTTTAAGCTTGACAAATTGGTATACAAAAACCTCAAACGCCCTTTTTTAAAATTTGAAACTGCCCCAAAACTGCAATCTTTCGAGTGAACGCTTTTTGTAGAGTTACACTAACAAAGTCTAAGATACCTGCTACGCACTAAACCCTGCGCAATTCAAAAAGAGGAGTATTACTCTTCAAAGATGACTTAAAGTGCTTTTGAAGTTATGTGCTTCAAAACTTTTGTTTTTCTGTGCCTTAGGCATTCTGGTAAGATTCTACCAACTTTCTGAAATATATTAGCTTCTATCTAGACTAGGAGAAAATTCCAGCTTTTTGATGGATATGCTGTCGGAATATTTGTTTTAACAAAAGCTGTGATTTGAGTCTCGAAATTGTGCTAACTTTACGGCAAGGTTGAATTTTGGTTGAAAAACCAGACGGCAAAGGAAGCGGAACAAGCAAAACAAATATCTATCGGAAAGCTTAGTTTGTCTTATAGCTTTGGTAGAAACTAAAGAGAGCTTGCAGCACAGAAAAGTAAACGTTATTGTTGCGGACTAACTTCTAAAGCATTCTGAGCTATGTAAGAAGGGTAACGCTCCTCTTGTTAAACCGCACTGAATTCAATGTGTAGGAGCTACCCAGTTATTGTTATTGTAACTTTACAAAAAAGTTTCATTCGAAAAACTGTAGTGTTGGGTAGAAAAAGTAGCTTCGTTTGAGGTGCCTGTCTAACTATGAACCGCTGAAAAATTGCAATTGGCGCACAAATATTCCTAACAAGGGAATGATACCGGCACGCAGTGGCGAACCGAAAACATGCATATCATTAGTTGCACCTTGATGACCTGAATCCAGATCTAAATAACTTCTGCTAAGCTCTTCTATCAAAAAAGTTATGAGCATTTGAATGTCCAAATTTGGCGAACATTCAGCTATTTGCAAAACACATTACGCATCAAAACACCAATAACTTCACACCTTTGAGGGCTAAGGCATAGGGCTAATAGGAGGCTTTGATAAAATCTGTAAAAAATTAGTATATCCCGAATCCGACGAAACGCTGCTTACTTATAGGGCTATATGTCCTGAGTATGTGCTTAGTGACGCAAGCAGTAGCGGCCTTTCGTCGTGTATTCGCACTACTACGTACTTTTATAGCTTTTCAGACGTCATACTTCCGGTTGATTTTAGGCAGACCCCCAAAATTTGATTCTTCTGTATTCTGATGCTTTTGCCACACTTTGCACATGTCTGTCAAGGTCTCAAAGTTTATGGCACTGTAAACGAAAAAAACTGCACTGAGCCCGTTATCACACGTGGGCGTCGTTTGTCATGACTTAAAGGTCTGCTTACGACAATCACTGTCTGCTAAAGATAAATATCATGCGAAAGAGCTGATCTCGGGAAAAAAGTGCTTTTGGAAGGTTCTGATAAGATTTAAAAAAATGTTCTTGAAGCATGTGAACGGATAATGGCTGGTATATAATACTTCGCAAATCCTCCACCACAGCGTCGCCTTATCATGCGTACAATAGTTCTATCTCTTTTTTTGGGTAAGTTTGATTGAAAACTTTCAGAGTCTTCAGTTAGCTGGTACTTGCGGTTTAGGAGTAGCATATGCAAGTTTGACTCCATTTGGCCACTGGACTCTTCCTCCAATAACTCTTCCTCCATTAACCAAATTCCCCAAAAATCACACCTTTGCTCCATTTACCTTTCCGCCAAGAAACTCTACCGTCACTCCTCCACACACTAAAGTTCCGCCTAGCAATCGGACCCTGGTTCCTCCCTACACCAAAGTTCCGCCTAGCAATCGGACCCTGGTTCCTCCCTACACCAAAGTTCCGCCTAGCAATCGGACCCTGATTCCTCCCTACACCGAACTTCCGCCAAGTAATAGGACCGTGATTCCTCCCTACACCGAACTCCCGCCCAGCAACCGATCTACCTGGTTCCCTCCCTTCACCAAGTTTACCACGAAGGAATGGAATACTACACCCGTGAGTTTGTTTCTCTCAAATCAGTTTTTCATAATGTTTCATGCATGAGCATTCCATCCAATAAAAGTTTTTGCAAGGGAAACACCGAAATTTTTTCGGCTAAGTGCGCTTTTTCAACAATGATCTAATTACTCATTACTGTAAATCAGTCGGTTATGCTACTTAATTCCTTTTCCATCCAATAAAAGTTTTTAGGCTCCCACACGTGAGCCACATCCGGCAAAGCAATGCGCCTGCACATACAAGAATATCTGGTTAGATTTGTTCTTCCTCATAGACTCTTCAGGTGTTATGACAAGTCATCGAATGGATAATGTAAGATGTTTATGAATAAATGAGTTTCTTCAACATTCTCAAAGAATTTTTAGGCCGTTGCATTTGCATTGTCTGTGGTGCAAAAAATGACTGTTGGACAGGGAGAAAAGGAGATGCGTGTCGGGTAAGAAACCTAGGCGATCATCTATACAGATTCAGATTCAGCTCAGAGGTTTGTAGGTGGGTTGAATTTGCTGCCAAAGCAAAAGTGCTCTACAATCTCACACACTGGCATTCTACTGAAGAGATGACGGATGGTCTTGAAATGATCTTCAATGGTAGTGCTGGGGCAGCCGTAAACTCGTAAGTTCTCCTCAGTTTGAAATCAGTGGTTCATGCATTCGCTTTTCTTGATTTACCTATCAAACTGCTTCAGGGCCATTCGTTTGGCCTCGAGCAGTTTCAAAGCTCCTGCACATCGATTGAACGCTAAAAAACTCATAGTAATCATCGCCTCTGATGGCCAGTAAGTTTCTTTCATTGCTTATTTGATAAATCCATTTGTGCTAGCATATTTTCAAAGTCCGGCTCAAAAGAAAAAAATGTGATATCTTTCCTGTACACTATAATGCAATTTATTTTTATCTAATTTATTATAGCAAAACAAACTATAGCGATGCAATGAAGGCATCTCAAGATTTCAAGGCAAAAGGTGGAGATATAATAACTGTAGGTCGGTGAAGCTCTTTCTAAGTTTAATGATAGTGTCACAGTGATGTGGTTTAGAGTACGCTCAGGGGCTCTGCAAAGAAAAATTGCTTGGAAAACTTGCCACGGACCCATCTTATGCATTCTCAAATTGTGATGGGCCATTAAACGTTGATAAAGTACGAAAGGCATTCTGCGATGGTAAGATCATTTTAGCTAGAGTTCATTGCTATGTATCACTTTGATGATGATCGAACGTAAAACGACTGATAGCAATGACTTGACTGACTTGTGTGCTATTCTAGCCAATTGTTTTTGTATGAAGCAGTACAAACCGTTTGGCAAGCCAGCTAATGGATGCTATCGTGCTGTAGGCATCCCTGCGGAGCAAGTATGTTCTACCGATACTGGTAAAGTTAGAGATAACGGAAATTATTCTTTTCAGAAATTAGCTTCACGAAGTTGCTACTACCATTACTCTACCTTAGCAACCGTGCAAAGCTATGCGAAAGCCGAGTTCCTAGCCGAATGTGAGTTTTTAGAGCGTTCTCTTTTTTGGCTTACATTCAACAATTTGCGGACGATTGCATTTCAGTGATGCCACCATGGGAAAGCAAATTCTGGATTGGATTGGAACGCAATTCTTATGGTACTTTTGCCTGGCCTGATGGCGAAGAGGTAGGGCGATTTGTCACTTCTTCAGTATGCTGTCCAAACATTTTGCTCAGGTACACAACAACACCTTCAACATGTGGCCAGCTGGATATCCGAAAGCGCGAGGAGACTGTGTATATATGAGCAGAACTAATGGAAGGTGCATATTTGCAGCATTATCAAGGTGCTAAATTGTTTCGTTTAGACTTGCTTGGTACAACGCCGACTGCGATAATGATGAGAACTATGCTTGTGAAAGAAGACCATGCGATACAGACAACTATTGCTTGGTAGATGACGAATAAGATGTCATTCACATTATTGTCGCAGGAATAATACTGCAAAATAAATGAAGATTGCACGATACATCTAGTGTGTTACTAAAAGATAGTTTATTTTCGAATTGCAGGGATTCAAAACGCCCTCATAAACGGGCATCTGTCATCGGCTAGTGTTTACAAATTTATGAACAATATGCAGGATTCGATAGTTTCCTTGTACTCTTTACGCAGGCGAATAAAAGTGGCACACATTACAGAAATTCAAATGAAAAAAGTGTCATTCAGAAAAGGTCGACACCACAGTTCATTGTAGAACCGCTTATGTGAGACACTTTCGACGTACCCTTCTGGTATATAGTGGCCAAATAGAAACAGTTTGTTTGAAGTTTCAAGAGTTGTGGCGTTATGGCCGTATTTGGCTTAATTTTTGCTGTAAGTATCAACCGAGGTCAAAGAACGATTGCTTCATCAAATTCTGAGCAACGAAAGCAGATTCACTGCGTCCTCAATCTGCGAGTGCGACATTTGTGGGGTATACATTGCTCAGTTTTTTCGGCATCCGTAGCTTTAGCGAAGGTGGCTTTTAATGGGGCCATACACTTCAAAGCCTGCTAATAATTTTATACAGCTATTTTTGCGATTTGCTCTGAAAGACCCTCTGTGATGCTCGATTACATGGCAGGAGCACTTTCTAGAAGATTGCAAAATATTAGCTTTCAGTTCTCAGTTCTGAACTTTTAAAGCATACTTGCACTAACCTTAAAGAGGTAGCCTTGGAAAATGCATTGCGCACAATGACAGCCTCCTCAACTGTTTTACATTCAAGATTGAATTAGAGAATGCAATTATTCGAAAATCGCGTTTTCATATGTCGAAATTGAAGCCGCATAAACTTCCCTACAATGCGTTTTCTGCTTCGCTGGTGTCCTTAGAATCCTCTACAATCCCGTGTATAGCAACCCCTGTCAGCCCTTTCGCACTTTCTTAAAATAAGACACCAACATCGAAAGCGCAAAAAGCGAAAAAACTTTCCGAATAACCTAATAGAAACAGTGTGTACGAAGCTTTAAGAGTTTTGAACTATATAATAATTCTTCCCTAGCAACGTTTTGGATTAGGCAAACGCAACGTTTTTCATTGCAAAGTTAGCAAATTTGCTTGTGGTATAGAATTATCGAGAGACGTGTGTAGAAAGGCGTGTATTCATCTTCTGTCACAACTGAAAGCCAGGAAAGGAGTTCTCTACCTTGTTCCTTCCGCATTTTTACTAAATGATCTCACTCTGCCCTTTCTAATGTATTGACAAGACTTCGGGGTTCGAAAACCTTGCTTTTGTGACGAAAGAGTTCAGCGCGGCGAGGGCGACAGCCAAAACACGAGCCTTTCGACATGCACCCAAGATTACCTATGGGAGAACAGTACGCCATTGCTTCGAGAAAAGCATGGAATCTCTTTTTTCGGTTATTGCAGAAGAGACGTGTGTAGAAAGGCGTGTATTCATCTTCTGTCACAACTGAAAGCCAGGAAAGGAGTTCTCTACCTTGTTCCTTCCGCGTTTCAACTATGTGATCTTCCCTTGCACTTCGCGACATACTGACAAGACTTCGAGATCCAAACCTTGCTTTTGTGAAAAAGGAGTTTAGTATGGCAAGGGCGACAGCCAAAACGCGAGCCTTTCGACATGCACTAAGGATTACCTATGTGGGAACAGTACACCATTGCTTCGAGGAAAGCATGGAACCAGTGTATACTCAAATTTTTGATGTTTACAATGTAAATGTGCAACAATGGAGGATTCGTAGTAGCTTTTTGGGAAAAACTGGATTTTTTCGATTATTCAGAAATCAAACCTTGAAAGAATGTCTCTTCAAATTATGTGGATCAAGCTAGCTGCGAAGAGGTTTGCTTCCCATGCATTTATAAGGTTGGCACTATTGCGGTAACATAAGAAGCAAATGAGTAAAGATAAAGATACTGTTTGTTAACCTGACATATAAAACTGGTACGGTATGACATTCGTGTTTACGTGTTTATGAGTGTCTCTGTTTACCAGAGTAATAGCCCAGTATGCAAAAGACGAGCAGTTTCATTGTGTGCATTCCTTAGAGACTGCGCGTCAAACTAATTCATTTGGTTTGCCCGCAAAATTGGTATTTCCACTTTCACAGAGTCGTGGATGTATTTGGCTAGTGTGCAAACCATTAACTTAGGCCTATAAAAGTGATCAAAGGTCTTCTACTCTGGAATGAGTTGCGTAAATGATCAATTTGCCGAGGTTTCACCTGAGCGTTTGACAAGATTTTTGTACAAAGATGTAGCTCACGGTGATGATTATTGTTCTTATGGGGACTATCAAAACAAAAGAAAATTCAAGAACCTATTCAAATTTGCGTTAATCCTTCCAAAAAGTTTTATCCACGCAAAATCACCGATTTTACATGTGAAAGCTTCCAGAATGAGTAGTTGTTTACATTTTATTCGTGATATTAGGTCATTCCGAAAGTTATTTCGCTTTTTTTAAAGGGGCGCCACATCTGAAGAAGAACTGTGGTCTATCTTGGAAACATTCGATGCAGCATTTCATCCTCTTTTTAACATTGGTGAAATCGTCACAGCTCAGTCATTGAGCTTTCGGAAAACTTCAAAACCTGCGACCCATGCTTTTTGAAGTGGTCATGTTTCACAATTTTTCAAAACCTTCATATCAAACCTCAGAAGGAATTCAAGTAACGGTTAGATAGAGCAAACCTTACAGAATACAAATCAATTTTTTTCTCCTTCACATACCTCCTCAAAATTTTTTAATAAAATTTCAGCTGATGCTACCAATTTTCATACTTGGTCAACTCAAATCTCGTAGAACATCAATGAGAGAGCAGCTCGGGTGGTGTTTGATGCAGCTTTCTCCCCTCTTTTTAATAGGTGTTTTTTGTTTCCGATTTGTTGAGTCTTCGGGGATAAAACCGTCATAACTCATGTTTTTGAACGCGCCCAAGGCTGTACCCGAAAAACTCGAAGTTAAGTATTTCGCACCCTTAAGCTCTCATTTGCTTTATAAAATCAACATTAAGTCATATATCACCTTGGAAGCTTTAAATTCCGAGTAATTACTGATGTTTGATGCGTATGTGACTGACATAGGCCTGCCAGAATCCGATGATTTTGGCAAAAAATCTTTCAAAAAATTACGGCGACCCATGAAAAAAAGAAAAAAGTTGTGCTGTATCCTATAGGGTTTGCCCTATCTATTCGTTATTTGAACTCCTTCTGAGGATTGATATGAAAGTTTTGAAAAATTGTGAAAGTTGACAATCTCAAAAAGCATGGGTCGCAGGTTTTGGTTGTTTTCCAAAAGTTCAGTGAATAAGCTGCAAAGGTTTCACTACTATTAAAAAGAGGATGAAATGCTGCGTCGAATGCTACCAAGATCTTTTAGAAAACAGTTCTCCTTCAGATGTGGCGCCCCTTTGAAAAAAGCGAAATTACTTTCGGAATGACCTAATATTAGGGTGATCCAAAAGTAATGGGGCACCTAGAGAATAAATGCAGTTTTCTCAAATAGAAAAGCTAATTGGAAGTCCAAGTTTTGGCAGATGTTAGTACATGACAAAACCTTCTGATCGAGGTCTATAGTTGGGCACTGTCACGTGCCGTTATTTTTATAAGCGCTTAAAATCAAAGCTCGTCACTTCAAATAATTTTGGACTTTGAGCAGCAGCGCCGCAGTAGAACAAGTGAACCTACCAAAGATATCTGCACAGCAATGGGTGAGGGGACTGTCACCAAATCCGCGATAGCCCGATGGTCCCAAGGCTTTAGAACAGAAGATATAGCAGTGGATATCAGGAGATATATTACTTATGCTTTCATCAAGGTAATCAAA